CTGATATGAAAGGACAGGGTCTGAATGATTGTGCTAGCATTTACAGAGGTGCTCTTTATCCAGCACTGTAATCCACGGCTTATCTGACCGCAGACTCACAAACTCCTGCAAACATTAAGAAATATGACTCATTAAGATTAGTGAAAGTGCTGAAATGAAAGATCAGTGTGAAGTTTAATTAAACTGATTAAAATATAGATTAAAATAAAGGACACAATGATCATGTCATGATGATTTAGTCATTATAACTAAAACAATTACCATAAGAAATATACATTGTTTTATTAGACACAAAAAATACAGAAATCTATAATAAAGTCCATCCATCCATCCATCCATCTATAATAAAGTCCATCCATCCATCTATAATAAAGTTCATCCATCTATAATAAAGTCCATCCATCCATCCATCCATCCATCCATCTATAATAAAGTCCATCCATCTATAATAAAGTCCATCCATCTATAATAAAGCCCATCCATCCATCTATAATAAAGTCCATCCATCTATAATAAAGTCCATCCATCCATCCATCCATCCATCTATAATAAAGCCTATCCATCCATCAATCTATAATAAAATCCACCCATTCCTCATCCATCCATCCATCCATCTATAATAAAGCCCATCCATCCATCCATCATCCATCCATCTATAATAAAGTCCATCCATCCATCTATAATAAAGTCCATCCATCCATCTATAATAAAATCCATCCATTCCTCATCCATCCATCCATCTATAATAAAGTCCATCCATCTATAATAAAATCCATCCATCCATCTATAATAAAGTTCATCCATCTATAATAAAGTCCATCCATCCATCCATCCATCCATCCATCTATAATAAAGTCCATCCATCTATAATAAAACCTATCCATCCATCCATAATAATATAAATGTTAATAGAAATAGAGGTAATAGAAAAATAAATTTTACTAAATACAAAATGTATAAGCAAAAAGAAAATCTTTTTGTCAATTTCCATGCCTGACACGGTTGCATTTATTGATGATCTGATTGTGTTTGATTTATGTCATTATTGAAACATATTAAAACTATTTTTTCCACATCAGTAAAAGCATGACCAGATGTACTACTCCAAAAATGGCATTTTATCCCCAAAACTACATTTCCACAAAGGGACAGTCTGGAGTATGGATGGATGGATGATGTAATTTGTCTCTCTGTCAATCATCAGGGTTAAAGAGTGTAACACACCTCTAAAAGCGGCTCTGTGATGCTCACATACAGTAGCCGAGTCCCAGTCAGGGAGTCAGTCGGAGCGCAGCCTGATCCAACGTTCTTGTAAACATTCTAGGGGTTGAAAAAGAGCAGGGGTGGAATTCGGACGCTTTATTTGGTCATGACTGAGGCAGACTATCACCCTGCTATGAAGGTCAAGACGAAGAGGTGCTCATGCTGCACAGCTCTGACATTCACAACCTCATGAGAGGACTTCACATTAAGCTGGATTTCACCAAGCACACGATAGATAAGTCCAAAACACTTCCATCTCTATATATCTGAAAACATGATTTAGTAATGCTGGTGTCATATCCCTTTTTAGATGCTCTGGAGATCTGTTCTGTGTTAATGGGTTGTTTTTGTCACCCATAATAACTTACCCAATGAGAATGTCAGTGTGAGGTGTGAATCGGTCACTGCTCTGTCAAACAAATTTAGCAAAGATAAGCAAATAAAAGACACAAACAAAAACATTTCTTGCAAGAGGGTTGCTAAGGTGTTCTGGTGGTTACTAAGGTGTCGGAAGGCAGTTGCTAGAGAGTTGCTAAGATCTTCTGGTGTTTACGGAAGCATTGCTAGATGTTTTGCTAAGTCAATAGGTTTCCTACGAAATTGGGCTACTTTTACATTGTTGCTGTGGGTTGTTTTTTTTAGTCTTCGTGTTGAAGTTTTGAGTAGCAATTGGACTGGTTTTCTTACAAAGACCTGGCAACCCTGATTGCTAAGTAGTTACTAAGATGTTCTAAATGGTTGCCTGGCTCCTAGTAGAGGGTTGCTAAAGTGTTCATGCGGTTTCTAAGGCATTTCTAGCCAGTTGCTAACTTGTTCTGAATAGTTGCTTTGGGATTGCTATAGGTTTGCGAAGGTGTTCTGGTGGTTACTTAGATGTTGCTAGGCAGTTGCTAGAGGTTTGCAAAACTGGTGTGAATAAGGTGTTGCTAGGCAGTTGCTTGAGGTTTGCGAAGCTGATAGTTGCTAAGGTGTTGTTAGGCAGTTGCTAGAGTTTTGCGAAGCTGGTGTTTACTAAGGTGTTGCTAGGCAGTTGCTAGAGTGTTTCTAAAGTGTTCTGGTGGTTACTAAGGTGTTGCTAGGCAGCTGCTAGAGGGATTCTGAAGTGTTCTGGTGGTTACTAAGGCGTTGTTAGGCAGTTGCTAGAGGGCTTCTAAAGTGTTCTGGTGGTAGGCGTTTCTAGGCAGTTGCTGGAAGGTTTCTAAAGTGTTCTGGTGGTTACTAAGATGTTGCTAGGCAGTTGCTAGAGTTTTGCGAAGCTGGCGATTACTAAGATGTTGCTAGACAGTTGCTAGAGGGATTCTGAAGTGTTCTGGTGGTTACTAAGGCGTTGCTAGGCAGTTGCTAACATAGTTTTGGAGATAAAATGCCATTTTTGGAGTAGTTTCTAAAGTGTTCTGGTGGTTACTAAGGTGTTTCTATACAGGTAATAGAAGTTTGTGAATGTGTTATGGTGGTTACTAAGGCATTGCTAGAGGGTTTCTAAAGTATTCTGGTGGTTACTAAGGTGTTGCTAAGCAGTTGCTAGAGGGTTTCTGAAGTGTTCTGGTGGTTACTAAGGTGTCGTTAGGCAGTTGCTAGAGGTTTTGCGATGCTGGTGGTTACTAAGGTGTTGCTAGGAAGTTGCTAAGATGTTCTAAATGGTTGTTTGGCAGTTGCTAGAGTGTTGCCAAGATGTTCTGGGTATGTTATACATGGCTTTACAATGAACTGTACATTTAGTGGATATCTTGAAAGGACTTACTGAAACGGTGATCTTTGCTTAGAGATTTTGAAAAAACTCTAACCCAAAGGGGGAAAAAACAGTTACTCCAGAAGGAAAAAGGAAAAGCTGACAATACTGATTGTAAAAAGACAAACAGCTGCAGTTTTATGTGAATGAGCATTTGGCACTCATCAGCATCAGACGCAGAGATGGTTGTATATGTGTTTGCTTATGGACTCACATGAGCCAGAGGAAAGTCAAGAAGGACGAAGAAACTGTGAAAAAAACAGAAAAGTTACGGCAGCTTCTGAAAGCGCTGGTTCCAGAGATTTCCCTGCCCTCCCTGCTTCCCTCGCTCCTTTCTAGGATAGGTCTGTCTGCCTATTTATGGTCGATGGCTCATTCAACCTACAAAGCTTAGAGGAATTCGGTAACAGCCACGGGCAGGTTTTCTGAACACAGTAGTCATCCGTATCCTGAACCCACCAACCAAATTGTACCGACAACTATTGTAAACAAACATATGCCATCGTAAATCTGCTTGATGTTCTGTACAACACTGATTAGAAAAGACAATAAGACCCTCAAACAACTTTAATGCCTCGTAAATGTAACTATATAAAATTTCATAGAGCGTCTGGAATGCAATTCTACGTCTGGGAACAACTTCAAGATGAATATCGGAGCGCAGTTCACTTTGCTTTATAAGTGCCGTATGAACGTAATCTGTGTCGTGCATTGGATTTAATACCAGAACAGACATTTGAAATTTGAAGTATTTTAGTTGTCTTTGCATATACAGTAAATGTATACTGTACACACTCTGAAAACAAGTCATGAAAACCATCTCTGGCAGGTAACAGCAAAGTGAAAAGTACATGCTTGAGCTCGGTGTGAGGCATACAAAATGTCACAGACAGCAGTACTGCAGATGTATGATATGTAGTGTTGTGTGTGTGTGAGAGTACCAGGGGAGATTTCAGTGAGCCTCAGATGCACTGTGTGACCATGTTTGGTAAAAGTTATCCACACACACACAGTCGCTCTGACCCAACCCATTGACCATGAGTACATGCAGTAGAGCTGGATTCAATCAGAGCCAGACTACAGGCTCAAAGATCTCTTTCTCTAGCTTTAACATTCCATGTCAGCCTCTTTGGCTTTCTTTACCTCCACTTTCTTCTGTCCTGTCTATTACGTAGGCTCTGAGCTAAAGCAGAACTACCTGATGTCATTTTCAACAGGTAGAACTGAAGATAGATAGATATAGACAGATAGATAGATAGACAGATAGATAGAGGATGTTCGGTTGCCACTGAACCAAGATAAATCTTCAGTATTCATGAAGAATTGGCAAACAACTGCCATTTGCAAATGGTTCTGCCAACAGAAAAGTGCCCTGAATGTACAAACAGCAAGCTAAATGTTAAAAATATTGACTTCAAAAGTCATATATCTACTTAAACAGACATTAAACAAATTTCCAGTGGATTTATGAACACATCAAAACATGTCATGATAAAATGTTTCAAAAAGTGTGTAAAATGTGTAAAGCGAAAGCATGAGGATGAATAATTTGACCCACTAAATTGAAAGAATTTCATTCATGACACCAGTCTACTATTTAAATAAATGTGTGAAAAGAGACTTGAATTAAACAAAAAAGTGAAACTAAATTATTTGTTTACCAATCCATCAATCATAAAAACACTATAATCCTGAAGAAGTAAATTTATAAGTACATGACCATTCTAAGGTTTGCATTCAGCATCAATACTCCAGTCTTCAGTGTCACATGATCCTTCAGAAATCATGCTAATATGCTGATTTGCTGCTCAAGAAACATTTATTGTTACTATTAATGTTGAAAACAGTTGTGCTGCTTCATATTTTTGTAGATTTTTTTAAAATAGAAAATAAAAAGTATTAAAAACCTCCTTAAACAGTAGTGTAAATTGAAAATTAAGTGTACATTAAATGCAAAACAAGCAAACAAATGAAAAGAAAACAATTCAGGACTGTTTTTTATCATCTCAAATTTATTCAACTGTCATTTCTCAAGTTTTGACTGCTACTTGGACAATATTATTATTGGTCATACATGCCATCCATCGGTTTCAAAGTGTATAGACAAAGGGGCTCTAAGGGGCCTCTGTTGGGTGTCGATTTTCACATTAAAATTCCAGAGATGATTGGATCCACAACAGTAATGTGTTAAAAGAAAAAAAAAAAAAAAAGTAAAAGGTCAAATTGATCAAATCAAGAGATCGGAGAACTGAACAATCATCCAACAGTTCTGTACTCATTTTAGTATTCTTATAATCACTTCTTAAAAGCAACTTCTACTTCTAGACTGAAATTATATACACATACATAGAGTTTCAATACTGGCATTGGGCTGGTCACCAAATTGCACATAGTAAATGATTCCATTGAATACCAGGCAAATCCTCGTCCAAACATCTGGACAGGCAGAAAAGTCGGTCTAGTCACCCTTTTATTGCTCCAATTATCAATTATGGGTCCTCCAATGTACCAAAACAATTTCAAATGTCTAAATAAATCCATATAATTTAATTGGTGACAGTTCATTTTTAAAGCCACATGAGCTTGAAACACTGACAAACAATATCGGGCTCCTTGTGATCACGAAAAACACTTTTTGCCTTGATTAGGATACTGTCTATCTGCTCTACATGAGGATCGAACCAAACGAGAGCAGGCAAGTGCAGCATAGATTATTACAAAGGCCTTTGTAAACAATGTACCAATAAACTTTAATGGGATGTTTGATATGGGGGATCCAACTACTCATTTATACCCATTTTTTACATTCTCCCACCCTTGAATCCACAATGACGTATAGGAGTTTAAGCTAATCTGAGGCTAGGCGACGTACTAATACTAGTGTTGTGTTAACTCTATCGCTGTTTTAAACTAGTACAGTCCTATCTATACTATTATTTCATATACTCATATGTTGTAGCTTATATAGCAACAGGCACATTTATGTGACCGCTCTACAGAAAACAATCAATAACTGTAGAGAAAGTCTTGTTTTTATGAATATTTAACTCTTTTTTGCCAAACAAATGTATTATTTTGAGTTACGCCAATCAATTTGTCCAGTAGATGAACTTCCTATTGATTTTCGACCAGCCCTTCAAAATTACAATTATTATAATATCAATGCCACCAAGGCATTTCGATTTCTGTGCAATGGTTGTGCTGATGTTGTACCATAAAGCCTAAACTCCTTTGCGTTTCCAATAAACATGAAGATTACAGCTCATTTCAGACGTTATAAGTACATAGAATTACACGACCAAATGGCCATTTTCTTCTCCAAAACGTCTCCCGAATATATTTCTATTGTCACAGCTTCACATATTCAAGGCCTGGAGGCTGATTTGGTTGTTACGAATTACGGATACAAGGCAAAATACTACATTTCCCACAATCCTCTCCCATTCTCATTCAAAATAACATTCATTTTGAAAGTGTACCTGAAGAGAAATGCTAGCTCTGATTCCAGAGGGATTTACTCTTGTTAAATACTTGGCAGGAATAAGTACTGCATATGATTTTACGCACATATATACTGTATCGTAATGCCACAGTGCAACGCAAGATGAGTTGACATGCCCAGCTCGCATGAACTCACATTCAAGAGAATCACAACAGCATTCATGCATCATGACAAAAGCCTAAACATCAGCTCTGGTGACCAACAAGCTGAAAAAAAAAAACTATGAATTTGGCAGGAAGAAAACAACAGAACCAGGAAAAAAAAAACAGGACTAAGATGTGAATTTGCACCAGTTCCCACCAAGCCTTGAGCTTCGAACATTGAAACAATCTGCTTGGTGAGGAAACGGTTTAGTGATGCAACTTGAGCATGTCGGGAGAAAATGGAGGGCTCTAAAAAAGGCAAGAACCTGAGAAACGGATAAAGCACTGCAGTTTCCTCGAATCTAATGCAACCGTGACCTCACATGGTCAGAAATGAAGTATGCACACACAGGAATTTGCTAAGTGAAACTCTCAAAGACTTTAGAAACCACCTTTCACTCCATTTTCACATGGAAAGTGTCTTGTGGAAATGCAAAAGAGTGACTGGCGTGCAACATAAGACGAGTTCTCCAAGTCTGAACTATAAGAGCAAAGCGTTTGATTCTCATGGACTGTCTTTTCAAGATGCTCCTCATGTTCCTCGAGTCCATGCGGTGCTCGTATTGAGATGGGCAGGTACTGCACTTGTGCTTGACACGGTGATAGAGGTAGATCTGAGGTTTGCAACCCGTCAGACTGGCAATGGCGTAAAATTGAGTGAGCACCTCCAACCCAAATGGTCAACAAGTTGTGGATGTTGGAGACCTTTGAGGCACATCAGTGTTAATATCACAGGAAACACGGCTCACAAAGCGACCGCGATTGGTTTCGAGAAAGACATGGATGGGTACTGACTGGCTAAGGCTTCGCGATGGAGATCTGATGGACTTTTCGTGGTCATACGCTCATGTTCTGTTGCTTCTCCTTGTGCTGGGAGGCACTTTGGTTGTGCTTGAGGCATAACGGGTTCGTTTATCTGCTTGACTTCCACCAGTGCAGGTGAAGTCAGAGTGTCTGTACATGAAGTAGAGGTTAAAACCACACTGGGATGATGATACTCTCTCATCCCAACCTCTGTTTCGAGAGCACGTCCATCCAGAGCGCAATGGAACGACTCAGAAGCTGCTATATTCTGGGAAGAGAACACGTCTAATCTAATCGGTCGTTGTCATGGATGATTCTCAGTCTGTGTGGTTGTTCATGTAATTGGTCTTTTTGGAGTCCACTTTGCCTCCTCTTAGCTTGCCGGTAATGACCTTGTAGCAGCCGCGGGCGATTTTGTACATCCAGATTGTGTTGAGGATATCCAAACAAACACAGGATACGATCCAGGCCACCTGAGCTGCCAGACCAAGCCTTTCGAACGCTGGCGTACCGAAGGTGCCAAACACTTTTGCCCAGTAGGGCGGCATCACGGCGATCCGCACGAGGAAGAACACGACCGCCATTGCGACGCCGTTGGCGACAACCAGCGGGTGAGTACGAGGGTAAGCTAACGCTTCGAAAAACCACCTGCGGAGAGAGAAACAGAGGTCAAATGAGACGTTCAGCATTTGGAAAGGTAATGGATCTAAACAAAATCTCTTCAAAGGAGTAAATTAATCTCACCTTTGATTCACAAATGGCGTTGACAATTCTGAAATCAGTCGGAAGTTTGCGAAATAAGGAAGCACTCCACGTGTCTGGAACAAAAAAAAAACATTACAAATGTAGATCATATAGACCAGTGTTTCCCAACCGGGGTGCCGTCTGTCGAGAGCAGGGGTGCCGTGTAAAAAAATCCATAGACAACTGATTGAATACCTCTCCTATGAGGAACATGTTTTCATTTTCTGAATTGTAATTTATTTTATATTTCATATGATAACCATCCTGAAATAATAATGAAAAAAAGAAAAAGAAAAAAGGAGAAGAAAGTCTTATTAAAAGTATTTTAGAATAATATTTTACTATTAATAGTAGTATCGTTATTGTTATTTATAAAATGAATATTATTAATATCATTCAAATGTAAGTAGTGAAACATTAGTATTAATATTTGAAAAAACAAAAAACAAATTATCAGCCAAATCAAAGTCAGGGTGGTGTAACCAACATGTCTAACTAACTAATAAACTAGGCTTATTAGAGTTACCTAAAACTAAAATTAAAACAGTTTTGTTACTAAAAAAAGAATAATATAAATGTTAACTAGTTTTATTTTAGCAAGTTGCCAAGGCAACATTTCTCATTTCAATTTAATTGAACTTGATGTTGGCTGTCAAATCGGTTAATTGCAACCAAAATAAAAGTTTATATTTACATAATTTATGTGTGTGTACTGTGTATATTGATATGTATTTATAAATACACATATGTAATATGTAATTTTATATATATAAATATAAATATAAATATATATATATATAAATAACACAAACTTCTATTTTGGATGTGATTAATCACGATTAATCGATTTGACAGCCCTACAACTAAAACTGAAATAAAAATTATAAAAACTATATAGAGATATATAAAAATATATTAACACCTAAAAATGACAAAAACATAATAAAACTATAAATACAAAAACCGATTCAAAATATTAATAAACACTATAATAATATTTCAATGATACTGAAATAATACGGTAATGAACTTACCAAATAAATAAATAAATGATACAAGCCCAAGAAAACAGGCAATTTGTGATATTCAAAGACAATATTCAAAATGACAAAATTATACATTTAAATTTAAATTAAAAAAAATTGTTGAAAATGACACTTTGGACACTTGCAGAAACTTTTCCATAATGTATGTATGACACCTTCTAAGAACTTTCCATTCTCACTTTTATTTGATTCTTATCATCAAAGATTTTTTATTTTTATCCGTATTTATAGTAAATATTCACAATTTCAAGGGCCTTTCATGTCCTTTGTATTTCCAGGTACTTACCAGCAAAAATCCATAAGCGTACAGCGCCGCCAAGTGGTGACAGACAAAAAAGATGTCCCCCATGGCACTCCAGTTACAAGCCAGAAGCACCAGGTCTGAGAGAAGAAGAGATGACGGAAGAGAAAACAAGAGAGTAAAAAATGTTGACAAACCTGAAAAGATCTAGGTGTAATCTGTGCTTGAACTTCCATAACAAAACAATGATTCATACCATAGAACAGGTATCCACAGGTGATGGCCACATTGAGCTTAACCATGTTAGGATCACCCCTGAGGAAAGACAAATAAAGGATACAGCTCAACAAAAGGCAAAAACAACAGTATAAGAAATGCAGTCAGTCAGCAATGGAAATGTTTGGACTTAACAAGATTAAGACGAACTGCTTGTTTCTGAAGGGTGTAATCTGTAAAAGCGTCACCACCCAGTTAACCTGCAGATGGAAACCCAAAGCATGAGGGAGTGGTGCTGCTTCTGACTCAAGCCATTTATTACTCTACAATCACTGGCAACACGCCACTGTCAACACTGCCAACTCTACAACTGACACCATTGTCATATTCCAGTCAAATAATATTGCATTCAATTCACCTGGCTGAACATGCAGCGATATCTGGACTGGGTGTAATCTACAACGTTTGCATGTAATCGTATATCTTGTAAGCAAATAGCTACATATCTAGTTAATTGCAAATATACTATAATAAAAATGTTTATTATATAAAACAAATTGCCATCAGACTGTTAGTGTTTGCTGAGAGCATTTTGTGGCAAACTTGTGATCTTTTGAACCGTCTGATATCAGATCAGTTTCATGCATTTGAAAAATACTGAATTTTTGTTTTTCCAAATTGTATGTTATCTATTTAAATTTTTTGATTTGTAATGGTTTAATTGCATTTTAATAACCAAAAAGGATTCTTTTTTTCCTGGATTCTGTGTTTTATGATTTAATGTGCAGTAAATTTATAATCAAAAATAGTAATACATGACTTCATAAAACTTTAACAATTTAAATTAATCTTTATAAAATTTTAACAAATGAAATTCCTTTCAGTTTCAGCAAAACAATCGAAGTTTACTGTTGAAATGAAAACACGGATGAAAAATTGTGATATTGTGTGATATTCCTTAAATTATGTTTTATTAAACTGTATTATTATTAATACTTTAAGTACATTCTACTGTACAATAGTAATATACGTCTGTCATAATTTCTTCTAGTTAAACCAAACTTTTATTTTGAAAGGCTGTCATGATGACCTTTGCATGCCACAGAGTAAAATAAATAAATAAATAAATAAATAAGGTAACTGTGACTTTTTTTCTCTCACAATTCTGCAATTCTTCGAAAATTGCGAAATATAAACTCGGAATTGCGAGATGTAAACTCAGTGGAGGCTTTCACATGGACAAGCATCAAGCACCACAGCCTACGCTGGTTTAAGCTGTTGGTTTTCATGAAAATACATTCAAGTGCAGTCGACGGGGTCATTTGAGAGTTACAGAAGAGATGAAATGACTAAACAAACCAGTGCGCTCGCCATATGGAAGATGAATATCTCAAGCCAGCGCTACAGTACGTGTGTCCCTGTGACCCTGTAAAGCGATCAGGGAACTGATACACAGCGGTCGCAGGTGTCCAGTAGCAGAGGAGGTGCGTGTGAAACACGACCTCAATACGAGCGCTAGCGGCCTCTCGTACACAGGAAGCTTAGTTACCCTCAGCATGACTTCACTGACCTCTGACCCCTCTGACAAACACTCAAGTCTCACTGCCCATCCAGCACGAATGCACGATTTCACACCTGGAATATTAAAACTTATGTGTGCAAGTGGTATTTATAATCTTTCTTACTAAATATATGGAAAAAAGGAAGGCTTTATTGTAATAGACCAAAGTTTTCCATCTTTTGACAGAAATTATGCACTTTCTCATATTTAAAAATAGCTCTGGTGCTTTGCATGGGCCTGCATGTGAATTTGCTCATCTGTTTATGAATGATTACTAGGTTTTATATCAACTATATTGAGTCATAAGGTGGATGATGTACCAAGACTTTCTGAAATTCATTTAAGTTGCTTCTGTTATTACACAATTTGTGATGACAAAATTGCATTAAATAAAAATGCTATTTTTCACCAGTGTTCTGTGTTAGCAATAAGATGCTCACAAATTTGAGAAGTCAAATCAAGCATTTACTTTATAGAATATTCATTGACAATTCTCAAAATTATTAATGGGCATTAATTAATCAATCAAAAAGTACTGTAGCTTAGGGTTATGATAATTAATTAAAACTAAACCCATAAAAAACATTACTTAAAAAAAACTAAAATTTTAAAATAATATACAAGTAAAAAAAATATATTTTATTTCAGTCGCCAAGGCAACATTTCTCATTTTTTGAAATACTAAAAATATCTAAAATTAAATAAACTAGAATGAATAAATAAAAAAAATTATAAAAACGATATAGACATTTAAAAGACTAATAAAATGACAAAATGACTAAAACTTGAACTAAAATATAACTAAAAATAAAAATAATATAATAACTAAAACTAAAACATAAAATATAAAAATAAAATCTAATTCAAATACCAACAAAAATAATAATATTATATCAATGATACTAAAATAACGCTACTGTAGCCTTAAATACATAACCTTGGCAGGAAAAATAAATAAATATAACACCAGAATCATTACTTTAAAAATTATAATTAAAATTCCCCCCAAAAATAATTTAAATGTGCCCTATCTAATCTATCTAAAATATAACTAAAAATAAAAATAATATAATAACTAAAAATAAAACATAAAATATAAAAATAAAATCTAATTCAAATACCAACAAAAATAATAATATTATATCAATGATACTAAAATAACGCTACTGTAGCCTTAAATACATAACCTTGGCAGGAAAAATAAATAAATATAACACCAGAATCATTACTTTAAAAATTATAATTAAAATTCCCCCCAAAAATAATTTAAATGTGCCCTATCTAATCTATTTCTTTCATGGGCTTTGATTATGGTTTGATCGTGGAGCATGTCATTCTGACATTAATCCTTAACCTACTTATCAGGTTAATTTATTTTTCCCTGAATACAGATAACTCATTGGTTTAGGAAAAAAATCTTTAGACCACAGTTTATTGGGACAAATAGATGCAGTATTAGCCTTCAAATGGACACACCTAAGCATGTTTCTTCACCTTTGATCTCATTCAGTTCACTATGTGGACAAGCAGGTCAGCTTCAGAGAACAGATTCAAACAACTGCCCCGACAGGCCAAGTAAGGATGGGTGACAGTGTATGCGGCCATTACTCTAAAACACAAAGCGATCTGCTTGAATGTTTGAAAGGCTCTGTGGAGTGTAACGCTTCAGGCGAGACTGGATCAAACTTGTTTTAAAAAACCGGGTAAACCAGCATAAGAGTTAGCATTTTGACTGAGCATTTAGCAAACAATAGCAATGACAATAATTGAACTTTCAAGAATGTGTTGAGTCATTCTACAAAACGAGTGGCTTTTGTGTCCTTCATTATGTACATAATGACTGTAAAAAATGTGAATATAGCTAATATAGTTGGAAACACAGGAGTGAGGACAGACAAAAAAAAGCATAAAATCAATTAAGTAAAGAAGTGAAGACTCCTTAATATTTCTTTCTCAGCCTACATCATACTTTTTCTTTGTTTTGAATTTTTCAAAATCCTCTAAAAATATATTTCCTGGTTCAAATGAACAGCCAAATCCCACATTTGACATGATGTCAACTAAAAGGCATGTTGTTGTGCCCGCAGGTTATGCATCAACCCAGTTATCATCATAACTGCCCCTTATTAAAATAATCTATTATTTCATACTTCAAAAACAGCAGCTGACATCATCCTCCTTTCAGCAAATGAACTCTGCAAGGACATGAAAATATCTTTATCACTTCATCTGATATTTCGGTAAGTTTGCCAGAAGGAACACTCTTACCAGCATTTCTTTTTAACAGTAAACAACTGATGAAACTTGAAATCAAGTTGTCTGTAGAAATATTAGCACTACATTTATTTTCTAAAATTCACCTTGAAGCATCATACCCTTGAGCCAGTGTTATTTTCATATAATTTAAATATAATTGCAGTTTATATTAATATTTTGAATTAGTTTTTTTATTTTATTAGCCATTTTATTATTTTACTTTACTTTTACATTAACTTTTTATCCGTCTATCTATCTATCTATCTATCTATCTATCTATCTATCTGTCTGTCTGTCTGCGTATGTCTCTGACTGGACGACACACTCCTGGCCCCACATTCCTACGGCTTGTCATCTGTATCAGAATAACACAGTGGAATGAAAAGGAAAATCAGCTCATCTGCATCAAGGCATAACACAGAGACACTAAAAAATTGCTGCGTTTCCCTCTTCTTATAATTCTCCCGAATTCTTCTACATCTTTTTCTTTTTAATTTTAATTTTATTGTTAATATTACTTTTATCTTATTTTCCCCCTCTTCTTTCTTCCCTACTCTTCGTTACATTGCCAGATCCATTTCTATGGTGTTGTCTTTCTGTATCTTGTCCTACTATGTGCTGTCCTATGTAAAATAAATAAATAAAATTCTACATTTGTTAGCAGTAAAATGACTTTGATTTAAAGAGAGAGAGAGGGGGAGAGATCACAAGTCACATCTATCTGTCTGTCTGTCTGCCTGCCTGTCTGTCATCATCTATCTATCTATCTATCTATCTATCTGTCTGTCTGTCTGTCTATCATCTATCTATCTATCTATCTATCTGTCTGTCTGTCTATCTGTCTGTCTATCTATCTATCTATCTATCATTCATTCATTTTTTCAGTTTAAGTTATTTCAGTACTTCAACTTGAATTTGATAAATTAGAGATGAAACTGAAATAAATTTAGTTTAAGTTTTCTTATATTTTATTTTATTCCACTTTAAGTTGATTTTATTTGAAGTATTTCATATTTTTAGTTGTTTTAGTTAGTTTCTGTTAACTATAATAATTATGCCTTGAGCACGAGTTTTATATGTTGTGTTTTTCTGCATTTTTAAAATGTATATCTATTTAGCTTTTAATTTATTAATAGCTTTTATTTAATTTTCATTTGTTATTTTAATACTTCAACTTGAAAAAAATAGAGATGTTGACTGGGCAACTAACTGAAATTAATTTAGTTTACGTTTCCTTACATTAAGTTCACTTTACATTTATTTTATTTGAAGTAACAGAAAC